GGATTTCCCCTCACTGTTGGTAAACGTCTCCAGCCTTCACCAGACTAGCAGCCAGCTCCTCCCAGGGTCATAATGAAACACAAGCAGAGACCCTCCATAGTGCAACCAGTTTAATAGATAAATATCCAGATAAAAAAGTATTTCACTCACATTGCAAAACGTCTCTTCCTCCAGCTTACTACCTCATGCTATGGGTGTACTGCATGGGTATTCAAACAGGGTGATCCAATATGGCCCCCACGTACCGACGCGTTGCATCACGTTCAACACGCGCAGGAGGTCTTTCCAATTTTGAATCTAGGATCCCTGATTTACATTCATATACTAGGGCCAAATTAGGCAGGAGCCAATTAACTTACCAGCATGTCTTTTATGACAAAATGTGGTAAATTTCAAGGTGTATGAATACTTTTTCAAGGCAATGCACTTCTGAAGAAAGGAAGAAGAGGTTCTCTGATGTTCCAAGCAAACACCTTTTATCTTTTTTTTGTATAGTGCTGGTGGAGCTACAGCTACAGCCTACAGCAACAGACTGTAAAAATTATGACAAAAGCGGGCAAAAGAGATGAGGCATTTCAAACTGAGTACGTACTGATTGTGAACAGAATTTTTATGAACTGAAAATTGAAGAGATGAGCAAACAGAACATAAAAGGCTCAGGACATAAACTGGATTAGAGTGACAACTAGCAAATTGAGAGCAGTGTTTTTTAAAGTTTGCTCACCTCTAGTGCTTGTTATGTCAGAACTTTGGCATGACTAGCCTCTGACTACACATCAGAACACCACAAATTTCAATCACAAATCTTATTTAAATTAGGAACACTCTTTGGATAGCTGACCACTAATTGTGTATTTAAAGAGGGCCCATGTGATACTATTTTTCCTTTGATTAGTCTGCAATGATGGGTGTTTCATTTTCCATATAATTTATTAGACAACTGTCTGAATTTGATAAAATAAAACAAAATTGAAACCTGATGCTGAAATCTGCAGGCCCAAAATGACATTTTTCAGCTGTTTTCTTTGGGTTTGGTGAGAGAACAATGTATGTACAAGACTTAGTCCTTTTCCAAGTATAACAGCAAAACAAAGAGAACCGTGTGATCTTGTATTTGGCGCAGTCATGCTTTCTGCAACAGAGGGCTATGTTACAAAATATGTCATGGGTCACCCAACAAAGAGAGGCCACAGAACAACAATATATTCCATCTAAAGAAAGTTTGGTTATAAACTTGGAGAAGTTGGGTGGTCCCCTTAACTGGCAGGAGGTCTGGACTGCCACAAGAGACAATCTTCCTAAATTATTGACTGCACAACCATAAGGAAAGAACAATACTCATAACACTGTCATATAGATGTACTGCTGACCTTCAGATTCGATCCTTCCACATCAGTAAAGAAAACATGGGGATGTAATTACTGCTATAATGTTAAGAGCAATCATGTGATGTGATCTAAACCAACCATTTATAAAACGGTTGTTATGAACTTAATTTGGTCAGACTGACTGATTTTATGTGCAACATTGCTGTTCATAAAATATTTTTCTCCATAGTATACAGTCAAAAACTACTTTAAAGTTGAACTTTAGATATTGCAACCAATGTAAGTATTTACAGTATGTGCCATACCTGTGAGATCACCATGGGAGAGGAAATCATTGTAGTAGGCAATGCTACTAAAGTGACTGCGGCTGTCTCCTGGGTCCCGTGTCAAGCAAAGGGTTTTCTGATTGGAGGAGTTGCTGAGGCGAGGAGGTGACATCATAATTTTCTCCTCATCCAATCAGAGAACACTTTTCATTGAAAGATAAAATGCAAGTGTTCCCTTAATGGTCTCTGTGCGGAGTGAACAACTTCCTGTGTTCAGTAAGCAGCAGGGCAACTGTGCAGAGCAGGACCCGAAAACTAGTGGAGATCACCATAGTACCTGTGCCTACTTCAGGTTTCCAGTTTCCACTGGGATCCACAGGTATGGCACATACTGTACATATCAAGCTGGGCCAATGTAACTATGTAAAAATTGTAAAGGATTAAGCACAGTGCTGTCCTTTAAAAGCTTGCTACATGTAGCAGTCTCTCCCCTTGTGAATCCCTGGTTATCAACTTTATTTTTCTGTTGGCACCCCCTTTTGGAAGATTTCTCCTTTCTAGTTGACAGATGTCAAACTGAACAGGAAGTGAGGTATGTTCTGTGTGAGGATATGAATTCTGTGAGGCCTCGTTCACACCATATATGCAGAAAAACTGATAGAAACTGACGTGCATATTTCACATGCAGAGACATCAGTTTAGATCAGTTTTCATTTGTGCTTGAATGGGTTTTATACATGTTGCAGATTCCTGCACAGAAAAAATCTGCACATGATACTAGTGTTGTGGTGTGAACAGGGCACATAGAGAACAATTGATTTTGTTGTGCCCTTGCAGAACACATACAGAAAAACTGATGTCTCTGCACCATGGTGTGAATGAGCCCTTAGTGTCCCAATGAAGGTGTTTTGAACTTACTTATTATCAAGCTAGTGAGTTTGAGACAGTACATAAAGGAAACAGAAATCTCTATGGGGAAATAAAAATGTATCAGAAAAATCTCCTCATTTGGGCATAGATGGCATGTAAAACCTACCGGATATCCCAACCCTTTCCCACATTATTATTAAGTGACATTAGCTCAAGTCCAACTTGATGAATAAGATCACTAAAAAGAAGTTGGCTTCAAGCTAGTCTGGCAAGATCCTCCAAGGTCATCCCCGCAGCTATAGTCAATGTGTTCAACCAGCTAGTAGTTGGTCCTTCTCCAGTGATCTCGCTCTCTTATTCCTACATTTTATTGATAGTTTGGTGGGTAGAATAGTTAACACCTACCGTATTTTTCGCTCCATAAGACACACCTGAGCATAAGACGCACCTAGATTTTAGAGGAGGAAACCAAGAAAAAAAATATTCTGTACCATGGACATAGTACAGGAGATGACCAGAGACTGCAAATATAGTACAGGAGATGACCAGAGACTGCAGATATAGTACAGGAGATGACCAGAGACTGCAGACATAGTACAGGAGATGACTAGAGACTGCAGACATAGTATAGGAGGTGACCAGAGACTGCGGACCTAGTACAGGAGATGACCAGAGACTGCGGACATACTACAGGAGATGACCAGAGACTATATACATAGTACAGGAGATGGTCAGAGACTGCAGACCTTTGGGGAGCGGGTACCCGAATCTGACAGGTACCCGCTCCCACTTCCGCGGTTGTCCCCCCCATAGTCTTGTGGAACACGTGACAGGTCCCAGAAGACTACAGGTGGCCATTCACAAAGCGCAGCACTTCTCACGCATACGCAGTGGGCACCCGGCTGTGAAGCCAAAGCTGTCACAACTGGGTGCCCACACTGAAGATTCCGGCGCCGGGGAGAGAAAACAGCCGGTGAAAGCAGGACACCGCTGGGACCAAGGAACAGGTAGGACCGAAGAGCAGGTTCTTCTGGACAGTAGAGCTGAGCGGCCGGCCTGGTATTCTAACAGGAATACCGGTCCGGCTGCTCCATATTCGCTCCATAAGATGCACAGACATTTCCCCCCATTTTTTTGGGGAAAAAAGAGCGTCTTATGGAGTGAAAAATACGGTAATTTTTAGTGTTGGGTGTGAGTGGACTATTAGAATCAATCTGCTGCTTTAGGCTACTATACCTCCGCCACTCTCACTCTTCTCCCTCTCTGTAAAACCTTCACCTAGCACCAGACCATTACCTATGAGACTATCACTAGCTTCCTATGTCATTAGAGTAGACATGCCATCTGTGTGATCCACAAAGTCCATTAGCAGAGAAAGAGCTTGTTCAGGGTTTGAGAACTTTGCAGCAATCCACTGTAGGGATCTGCTACCTTCTATTGTTAGCTGCCAATATCACAGTTGTATGTAGAATTACAGCACGTCTGTCTCTGGGAGGCCAGTTTTGAAAAAAGCTCAAAAGAAGGAAGTGAGGAGAGGCAGAGAGAAAGAAAAAGAGAAATTCTCAGCCGCATGTCCTGTCCATGCTGCTAAATCCAGACCAGAAGAGACTATAATGCAAGTATTCCTTTGTTCTAGTACTTTAACTGCAGCTGCCCATATCTTCTTGAGAGTGTTCTGAATCTTTGTGACAGACAGAGTATTTCTGTCCTATTGTTATTATCTCACATGCACCGTGCCAGATAGCTAGGTCTGTGCTACTGTAAGTGTGTCATGGTCACCTTCTAGTTTGTTAGTAAGTGAACCTGTTTATTGCCATAGAGTTTATATACAGCTCCTGTTATTTAAGTCTGGGATTCTGTAGCTAGTTTTAGCTTTGGGCTCAATGACCAGCATAGGTTAGAGCCAGGTTAGGCATCTGATAGCCACTTCTGGTAGTTAGAGGTTCGGTTATATTCCAAATTAGAAACTACTAGGGACAGATTATAGACAGGCTGACTCTGAGTTCCAGTGTCACATGCCAATTTCTGTTGGTGAGTGTCACAGTATAGGAGCCTTCCAATTATTAATCCCCTTATTAATGCCTTGTATCACATGCCCTCAGCGTCCTGCTCTGTATTGTTCCAATTGTCCCCTGTGTCACTAGGCAAAATGGCCTAATTCAATGGCCTAATCAAATTACTCTGGGCCCCCCTCCCTCCCGGCCAGCTGGCTGGGAGCTCTCCGCACACACTCCCAACTTGCCTTTCATCTATGCAGACATCATCCCTGCCCCCCCAGGATGTCCCTGTCACCAGCCTGATTCTCCCTGGGGTCTAGTATTCCCTCTCCCCTCCCAGTTGCCAAAGCGACCGGGGAGTGTCCTGCAGCAGTTTAAGAGGCTGGTGCTGAGCGCTCCGGCCTCATTCCGTTGTGCAGTCATCAAAGGATCTCAAGCTACGGCGAGACCTTTGTGACTAGACTCTGCAAGCCCACTCCCACCCTCACAGAGACCCCACAGGAGGGAAGAGACGGCCAGAGAAAGGCATGCGATTTCGAGAGACCCCACAGAAGGGGGAGAGACTACCACAGCCTGCCTGCCAGAGACCCCACAGAAGGGGGAGAGACTACCACAGCCTGCCTGCCAGAGCCAGAGGCCACCCGCCTGATCCGGACTCCACAGGTACCTGCGTTCTGCTTCTACCCCTGAGAGACCAGGCACCCTGTTGGATCCGTAAGTACCTGCTTCCCCCCTGTGTTACCTGAACTGTTGCGGTGGTGACCCCTCGCACCCCCCTCCTGTGTCGGACTACCCCTGTCACAGGGACACCCCCTTAGCTCTCCTAGTGGACTATAAGTGGGTGGGGCCCCCTCGTTACCCTTTAGTGGCAAATCCATCCTCTCTGCCACCCCCCTTATTGAAGGACTGCCGTCTGTTTGTCTCAATAAAGCTTTGTGCGTCTGCCATCCACTCTGTGTGTTCTGTCCTGCCTTTCCTCCGTCACAGTGAGAATATGCGTTCCAGGCTGGTTGGACAGCAGTTAGTGGATCCCCCCCCCCATCACTGCTGATCTTGTCTTCACATTTCTGACACAAAGACAGACACTGTAGTGAAGAACAAAAAAACAGAATGCAGTGACCTATTTACCTCAGTAAACAGTTAGTTGAGTTATTGATTTAGGAGATATACTCACAAAAGTAGTAATAAAGCATGTAAAATCCAAAACTGAACCATACAATAAGGAGACACGTGCGAATCCCATCAGAAGGGGAGATTCTCACAGTGACACTGATGTGTTTCGAAGGAAGGGGTCCCTTCTTCAGCACAGACACTGCGTCTTGATCATCCTCAGGGGCCCCTACAACCTGACTTTGTTGCGACATTCATCTGGAGGTATCTCTACTAAAAACTATTTATATTCAGGAATATGTGCACAATTCCACCAGGACTCCTACTGGCCCCTTTGCTGATAATACCAATTTGTACATTGGATGTATGTACTGTACTGTTACAGATCTTTTTCTTATGTAAAGCTCATAAAAATTTCCATACTGGCGTGCATATATATATTTATTGTTAATGTTACAGTATCTGCTGGCTGCAATAGTTCCTCTGCTTCCAATTACTTTGATTAGATTTTTGGTTAATTTTCCCTGGAAGGGAATCCCCTTTGTTCACAGAGGCCCTGACCTGGGTGGAGGCACTGCCAATTATATTATTAAAACCACTCTTCCACGTAGCGAAGGTTCTGGTTCTCTTATTTACCTACAGACTTAGCACAATATCCTACTTGGAGGCAGGCCAATTCTCATATAAATATATGGGAAATGTGTGCGCTCTAAAAATCAGTAAAAGCCGCTATGCACAAAGGTAACCAAAAAACCCTTTATAAAAGCAAATATAAAAATGGTGCAGCGCTAAATGTAATATACTGTAATACATAAACCAAATAAAACCAAATAAAATCTCCAAATATGAAGTTCATAAACAGTTCAAACAGTGACTTTAGTGCTCTTTAAGGTGCTTGCTTTCCTGGGAACCGGTGTCTGTGCAGTAATAGTGTAAAGAATGCGCACTCACCGGACATGCATACAAAATGCGCCTGTATCTATAACTCCAGAAGTTATCAAGGCAAGCCAGGAATAGGGATGTCTTCCCTCTAAGGGGTGGATGGTCATCAAAAGGATCCCGGGGTTTCTAAATGATGATCCACACCAACCACAGTTCCCCCAAGGGGTTAAACGGGTGCTGCTCCCTGGATGAGAGATTCCCTCTCTGGATTCAAAGATGGATCCCGTCTTAATGGCAGGGTGTCTGAAAATTAAAAAACTCCCCAGGGAGTTTAAAACGGGCATACCCACAGTGAAGTAGGATGATATGTAAATGTATTCCAATTTCATTAAAACCAATGCATCAGAAAGTATAAAAGCATGACGTGTGTAGGACTAACCATCCAAGTTCTAAGATGGCCGCCGGAGCTCCACGTTGCTCCGGCGGCATGATGTCACAGCGTGATGTGGCTCCTCCTTATGCGTTTTGTGCACAGGTACGTCTTCAGAGGGGAACCGCCATAAACCCCTTCTCCCAAAAGTGGGTACAATCCATTGGTGTCTTTGGGGTGGAACTTGTTATTCAGTTTTGGCCATATGTAGGGCCAATAAATAAACTATTGTAAAACAAAAGGCATGGGAAGTCTGGCATTGCCTTAGGGAAGGGACATGTACCAATACCAACATAAAAATAAACAGTAAAGAAAATAAATGGTAGAGGCAAACCTGAAGTTTGCATCCGAACGGATCATATTTAAAAAAAAAAAGTAGAAAAAAGGTATGTGAACAAAAGGTATGTGTCACCACACAGACCCAATCCATTCTGGAGTTCAGATGTGGTGTCACTCTTGTAAAAGGATCTAATTTACCTTACATTATGTTTTTTGGATCTTCATGGACATGTTTTCCTTTACACACATTATTTTTTTACACAACAGCTGTTTTTTTTTATATGGATGTATTATGTGGCTATTTTATATGAGAACTTTTTATTGGACATTTAATCTTGATTATAGAGGCTAAATATAGATATTACACTAGTGTTTTGATTACATATTTATTTTTTTAAATGTATACATTTAAAGAAAGTGGCCAAGGAATCAAAGAATTACTTTTTCCTATAAAGATTATTTACCAGTATTTAAAAAAGCACCAGGTCCACATACCATCCAAACGTTATTGGTGGATTAGAAACAGGTTTATTTCACCCTTGAGATGATTGCCACATTTTTTGAGCATTTACAGTGATATCTTTATTATCCTATAGTCATTACACATTGCATGGGTGCTTGGAACTTTTTTTTTTTTAGATTACCTAAGTTATAAATGTAGGGATGGCACATTCCAATGCTCTTTGATGCATACCCACATGGAAGAAAAAACTATATTTGAAATATATTTTTAAAATATTCTTCCCAAATATATTGGCATATATTTGAAATACTACAATTTTGGCCATATTCAATATATTTCAAAATATATTTCAATATATATATATATATATATATATATATACACAGATACACATATATATATATATATATATTTGCTCTTCCAGGCAGATGCAATTTGATTCAGAAAAAACCACAGCGCCCAGGACCAATCTATTAACAAACAGTTATAAGTGAAATGCTGCTGTGCATAGGTATATAAACCAAAAAACAAATATTCCAATATAAACCCAGCGCAAAACACAATTAATAAATAATAAATAAATATAAAAAATAATTTTCAAAGTCCAGTGATGAAAATAAGTAACCCCAATCCCGTGACACAAAAATCTAAAAAAAATATATATAAAGTCCAGTGATCTAAAAAAACTTTCTTAAAAAATAAACTTCAGTGCTTCAAATAATTCTTCCACCATCCACCAGTGCCAAAAACCAACATAAACCGCACTCACCAGATATTGGTGAGTAAAACACCTTTCAGGATTATTTAGGGCACCTGGACCCCCTTGAGGACTCCTCTATTTTCCACCTCAGACCTATGGGTGATTCTTCATTCGTCTCCTCGCCACACCACCAAGTTCCAAAAGGGAGAAAAAAAACTAATAGTGTAATACTGTTATACCCTTTTTATAATTAATTCATGCCAAACCACTCACATTTCAAAGGATAAAAAAGCGACGTCGCTTTCGGTGAGTGGAACGCACGCCGAGGGATGTGTTCCAGGCGGCCATTTTTTGACTAGCAAAGAAAGTTCGTTCGTTATGGAGGCTGTCATCCTGCTGTATACAAGGCTGTGAGTTCCTAGGAGCTGTGGAAATTCGTATTTGTTACTCGAAAATTCGTTTGATGTCCTTAAATAAATGCTGGTTTTTATCCTTTGAAATGTGAGTGGTTTGGCATGAATTAATTATAAAAGGGGTATAACAGTATTACACTATTAGTTTTTTTCTCCCTTTTGGAACTTGGTGGTGTGGCGAGGAGACGAATGAAGAATCACCCATAGGTCTGAGCTGGAAAATAGAGGAGTCCTCAAAGGTGGTCCAGGTGCCCTAAATAATCCTGAAAGGTGTTTTACTCACCAATATCTGGTGAGTGCGGTTTATGTTGGTTTTTGGCACTGGTGGATGGTGGAAGAATTATTTGAAGCACTGAAGTTTATTTTTTAAGAAAGTTTTTTTTAGATCACTGGACTTTTATATATATTTTTTTAGATTTTTGTGTCACGGGATTGGGGTTACTTATTTTCATCACTGGACTTTGAAAATTATTTTATATTTATTTATTATTTATTAATTGTGTTTTGCGCTGGTTTATATTGGAATAGATGCAATTTGATGTTACAGTGTGATATGTGTGACCATTTCCATAATTTTCTGTAATGGCATGATATCAATGCTGTTGTGGTGTGATGTGGAATGCTTATGTACTGTGATATATTAGGCACAATTTAATCACGTAAAATAGCTTTTTTAAATCCAGTAAATGCACTGAAGTGGAATATTTATGTATTAATAGGCAGATATCAATTAAAAGACCTACAGTATTTTCATGAATCTTTAATGTCACAAAAATCCTAACTTACTATGTTGCATATATTACTTGCCAAAACAAGTTATTTTCAGACACATGCCTTTTTTCAACTTTGATTGATCCATATTACCGAAAATTACAGTCATTATGGCCAGTATTGATCACTATAGCTCAGTGGGGTTTATTTACTAAAGCTGCAGAGTACAAAACCAGGCTCACTTCTGCATAGAAACGAATCAGCTTCTAGCATTAGCTTGTTCAATTAAAGTGTTACTAAACACAGGACCCTGCATTCACTATATCTGGTCTGCCACAGTACACACAGCATAGGAATTCAAATATTTTAGTAAATATAAACTGATAAATACCTTTTCTCATCAGCAGTATATAGCAGTTTTGTGAATTCTATCAGTGTCCAGCTGAGCACTGATTAAAGTTTGTAGAAGGAGTTTTCATTCTCCTCCAACTGTCTTAGGAGGCTGCATAACCCCTGACCCTCTGTCTGGACAGTGCTGATTGGCCCTGTGCTGATCACATGCACCCTCCCAAAGTAAAAAAAAAAAACCTCTAGCAATACACACTAAACTGAGCTTGTGCAGTGTGACTCCTAGAGCTCTGTATTATCAGCAGATGGATTGGGAACAGTAGAAGAAGAGGAGGATCAGAGAAGACAGGATCAAACAGCCTTTTTACACAATGTGGAGGATTACCCCTTTAGGTTCCACAATGAGTATAATAAGCATGCTTTACTGCATATACAGACTGATTTTACTGTTGTTGTTTTAGTAACACTTTAAGCTTTGACAATAAAATCTGGAAGCTGATTGGTTTCTATGCAGAAGTGAGTCTGATTTTTTACTCTCCAGCTTTAATAAATAAATCCCAGTGTTATCTATTTATTCAATCT